AGACTCTGCACGACTCTCTTATTTTGTCCACCCTTTAGAACAATTCCAGAGAGTCAGGTCCTTTTTCCTTATCAAAGTGAGCTGGCTAAAACAAGTCTGTGAAGTTCCCTGAGGGCAGAAACCACGTTTGTTCTGTCCCAGGATTCTGAACCAAATCAAACCAGTTCTGTCCCAGCTGAAGAAGCAACACTGGTACAGAGCGAAATTTTCAAAATGTGGGCAATCTGGAACAGGAAAAATAATGGGTGAATTCCTAGCATAGGAGACTCAGAAGACACTGCAGGCTCTTCCAGGAGCTTGCGCAGGACAGAGGATGTGGCCAGGCCCGTGGAGAAGGACACGCTCAAAACAGCGGGTCAGCTGTCATCGTGGAGCTGGGCACCGTGCCCTTTGGCTCGGCCACTAAAGAGATTTGGTTGCTCTGCCAAGCTCTTCTTTCCTAAGAGGGAGATTACGTTTCCAGCAGGACTTGGGTCCATACCTTTTCCTGGGCCAGTTAATGCTCCAGCTTGCCGACATTTGTAAAATTCTGGTCTGTTCTGGTACCACTTCAGTGATCATGGCTGAACCAGACGGAACTGTCTCGAAGCTCTGCTCTGTCTACCACTAAACCCCTGCCCCTTCTCAACACCTGCCTGTGCTAAGGAGGGAGGAGTGACGGAAAGAAGACCAGCAACTCAAGACCAGTATGCTAAAAAGTCACGTGCTTCCCCTCACGTGCACACAGCCTAGATGTAATAGAGCAGATCACTTACCTTTATTAAAACTGAACTTATTTTACTAGAGAGTTGTTAAGATATATCTGAAATGCCTAAAATACTCCAAAGAAGGAGCTTCTGTGTCCTCTGCTCTTTCACCTCAAATACAAAATATATCTTTAAAAATAATCTAAACCAGCCCCCAACAAAATGCTTTTTAAAAAAATTATCTAAACCAAATTTTATCACATATGGGTTCATTTTTAGCCATGATTCAATATAGAACAGAGTAGCTCATCAAAATCAGAGATAAAACTAAACTGAATAGGAAAAATGAAAAAGAATCCAATCTCATTGATATCACAAATCAACACTATGCAGTAGCCGTGATACATACCGATTTTATCAAGTTCCAAGATATTAAATGCAACTCCCAAAGACGAAAAGAGTTCTTTAACCTGCAAGGAAACACAGGCATAGTAATGAGAGATGCCCTCAGTAAACTTTTTTCAGGAATATGACTTCTGTCCCATGTGATAGTTTCCTACCCTGCCCACACCACGGTACTGTGGGTTAGGATTTGGGCTACTAACCACAAGGTCAGCAGTTCAAACTCACCAAACCCGTGGGAGAATATGGTTCATTGCTCCCATAAAGACTTCCAGTCTCAGAAACCCTGGATATGGTTGCTTTGAGTTGAAATTGGCACGACAGCAGTGGGTTTGACACACACATTCCCAAAATAAGCTCTGCCAATCCCCTGTCTATTGGCACGACAGCAGTGGGTTTGACACACACATTCCCAAAATAAGCTCTGCCAATCCCCTGTCTTCTTTCACCAGCTGGATCCTCAAAACGCCACTCTAGAACCTGTCCCAAGTCTCATCTGAACTCAAGGTAGACAAGATCCGATTGTCCACCTGGAGAGCCTACAGGCTGTTCATACAAGACATGCTTCTTCCACATCCTCTTTCCTCTGCGTTTCCTTTCAACATCCACTACGCCATCCGTCAATCATTTATCCAGCAATGACCTACTAGGTGGCATTCACTTTTCTAAGTGCTTACCATGTAACAATGAACAAGACACGATCCCTGTCCTGGAGGAGACAGATAAGAAAATGGACAATTCATCACAGTACCATTCACTTAAGGAAGCACCTCTAAACCTTCCCACTCCAGAAGTCGGCAGAGGAACAACGGCCTGGCTATCACG